TTCCTCTCCTAGGGCTCTCTCTCTCTCTTTCTCTCTCTTTTGATTTCTCTTTATTTTATTTTTGTGCTTGGGGACAAAGCAAAACAGAATGTCACTTCAATGAATGAATGCCTGAGAGCTTTATGAAAGTTATTGTTAACAGATTTAGGGTTTGACCTAGCACTTAATGCTTTGTCCAGATATTTAATCCAGAACCTAGTTCTATCAATTTGATCCAGTGCCTACGCTTGATTCTTTTACAAAACCTCCAGTTTAGTTGATGAGGATATTCAAGTGTGATTCTAAAGTGGCCCTCCTCCTACAGGTTCCCCTCTTCTCTACAATAACACAAATATTTCCTCCTCATGTTCAGTTTCTGAACTAGTAGGGTTCTTACATATTTTATTTTATTTTTGGGTTAAAGTGTATATCTCTTGACGAAACAAGATTTTTTTTCCAACTGTTTATTCCAATTTTTGTGTCATCCAATTAATAGCATCGCATCACACCCCAGTTTTAAATACAATGCAATTGGAATTGGAGGTATAATTCTTGACTTTAATTCCTGTTCTTCAATAAGACCATTATAAAGATATGGTTTCGTTTTGCAAATGTCTTGTGTTTTCTTAGGCAGGCAAAAGGATATTTTGTGATGGCTGCCTCTTTTTGTCTTTTTTTTTGGGGGTTCTTTTTTCTCCTTTCTCTCCCTTGGTCCAACGATTGCGGCTCTACATGACTAATGTTAGCCTCCCTTTACTATGAAGACCCTTCAAATTTTAACCAAATTGAAAGTAGGACTTGATGAGCTAGCTGGCATCTTCAAGTTGTAGCATTTTCTTAATAGCAAACTAAATGGCGGGTTGGCGCCCAATGGTAAGGCTTGCCGTTAGCGGCCCTATGGTGCAAGTTCGAGTCCCGAAAACACTCTCTCTAGAAATAGGGGTTAGACTGCATACACCTTGTCCTCCCCAAACCCTTCTTTAGTGGGGGCTTCGTGCGCTGGGTCACCCTTTAATGAACTTAATAATTTGGGCGATATCCTCCCCTCCCTTTCTATGTAATTTGCATTTTTGTAACTCCTTTTTTTTAGCTGTCTATTCATTATATGCACCAGTCTGCATATTGAACTGGGTGAAAGCTGGCTTAATCTATGTGCAAACCAAGACAGACCTACTTATACAAACTGATTGAGGTGAGCAAAAGTAGGAAATTTATGCGCTAACAGTATGACAGCAGTGCACCGTGTCTTTATCTTTCTCGTCATTGTTTGCTTTTGATTCTGAAGCTCATTCCCTATACATTGCTGGTGGATGTTGATCAAACCATATACTAATGCAGGATTTGCAAGATATATTGATAAAGGTGAGAGAGGAATATCAATGCTGCCTCTTCTGTGGATGTCAAGTAAGTAGTGACAATAATGCTCTCTACCACATAATCATCTTTGCCAAGGTCGCCATATTTCTTGTACTGATGATAGTTTCTCTTCTATTTCTCAGTATGAATTAATGGAAGCACTCTTATCCAACTGCCTAGGAATAAATGAAGATGACCATTGAAAGATTGTTCCTAATAACACAAATTTGTTCCACTACACAACTTCCAGAAGAAGATGCTACTTTGCCTAAGTTAGGTGTGGATCAATTTGTCCTCGATGGAAGGTTGTTATTTCAAGTGGGTGATTTTTAACTGGTCTGATAGTCTCTTTCTGAGAGTGCTCAAAAGTGGAAGGCAACCAAACCAAACTTTTAGACATCAAAGTGATCATCAGTTCAGTTGATGTAAAGGAGGAAAAAAAACACCATGCATATGCATTTTTCGGTTCAAACCAAGCTTTACAGGGGAGGACAGTGTTTGCTGGGCTCTCCTCACAACACGAGCAATTTTTGTACATCAAAAGGACCTTGCATGTTTAATGGCAGTGCCTTGTGTTAAAACTTTGGCAAACGTGGACTTATCTTGTTGTTTGACTTGAAAGAACTTAGAAATTCACGAACTGGTATTATACAATGTTTAGCAGATTCCCTATTAATATATGCAGTGTTAATTTTGTAATTCCTCAGTGGGAATGGATGGCGGAGATTAATGTGTGGAATGATTGTAGCATTTTTTTTCACTATCGTGTCATTACTATTAAAATCAAAGATTGATGGTGCAAGTAGACATGTGGGAGAAGGCGTGTAACCTAGCCTGGTTGTGGGCTTATGTCTCTCCTATTTAAAAGGATCCTTCATTTTTATTTTGTTTTGTTTTGTTTTTGTTTTTTGTTTTTTTGTTTTAAAAATTCCCAAAGATTGGGGAGCCATTTGTCAGTCCTAGTCTTAGGTAGAATTGTGTACAATATTGTCTAATCTATTAAAATCACATTAATTTGTACCATTCAATCCGTTAATCACGGATTAAATTTTGAATTTATAATCCGTTTTCGAAATTGTTCTATTTCACTATAGTTAATATATATATATATATATATATTTAAACCTCTAATGAAATATCAAAATAAAAATGAGAGAAATTTAAAATGTGAATTTTGTTACAAATTAGTAGTTATATATATGAAAAATATTATGTAAAATTAATTTGTATCATATATGTGGGGAAGTATTTTGAGAATGACGCTATGTGGCCATAGTGCCTTTGAGATATCAGCCGAGGTGCTACGTGGGTTGGTCATGTTTGCCAAGATGATTGCAACGTTATCGATATTCGATGCGGTAATGCCTGAATTCGAGATACTTGGATAAGGGACAAGAGTCCTAGATAAGAGGAGGCTTTTAGTTCAGATAAGGATAAAACTCTTGAGGAGTTTATCCCTATCTAGCTAAGAGTCCGAGATGAACATTGTGCTTGAGTCCTATGAAGTGAGACTTCTAGGGGACTAGAACACTGCTATCTATAAAAGTATGGCACCTTGGGTTTAAGATACGCTTTATTTTTTGATGAATTCAGTATTTGTTTGATATATTTGAGAGATAACTTAACTAACTTGATTCTCGGAGTGCCCCCATGTTGATGAACTACCGCGATATTCTCATCTTCTTGTTGGCAGGTGGTTGGCTTAATTTATTCTGCCACGTGCTCTCTAGCTAAATTCCCTATTTGGTTGTGTGGTCGAAAATCAACACCCACAATTTGGCACCATCTATGGGAACTTAGTATAGAATAGATGCCAAACAACGGACAGGAAGTGACGATCGGGGATTGACATTTACAGTGAGGAAGAGGAACACATGGGTCCTAATATTGGGAACAATAGTGAAGAAGTACAAGAGGTCGACCCCAAGGGAAACAATGTTGCTAGGGGCCAAAACGGGAGCAAGAAGGGTAGTCAAGATGAGTACTACCATGAAGGAGATCTCCAGGTATGAAAGGATAGGTGCCTGAGAAGAGATAAGGAACTGAAGGACATGGCAAATAAGTTGACAAACTTATAGACAGTGGTCAACTTCATGATGCAGAACAACGTGATGCTATCAACGTTTTCCCTATAAGACACACTGGCACCAATAGCCAAGGCCGATGTCCAAAAAGGAGGACAGAAGGCAGTACCAACTATTCCATAACATGTCAAGGGAAAGGGAAATTCACATCGGCAATCATGGAATGTCGGGTGGACAGAGTTAGAGGACACCACGGACCAAGGGGACCTATGTCAGAGGATCTCAATAGATCCAAGGGCAAGGCCTCTGTTTTGATGATGCAGTGGATGTGGAGAGATCTAAGAGAATGCACCCTAACATCGGTCGTAGCGTGTCAAAAAGGCTGAGATCTACTAACAACTGAGCTCCCTGACGAACAACTGAGCTCCCTGACGAACGAAGGAGGACCTGAGAGATTACCTCCAAAAGAAGAGGCATGATGCCGAGATCACATCCAACATCCAGCCAAATACACCGTTGTCATTAGAGTTGGATGCGTTCGAAGTGCTGAAAAAACTCAACATGCCAAGGTTTCAGATCTATGACGGTAAGTCTGATCCAAACTTTCATGTTAGTTTATACTTAAATTCATTGGCTTTGTGGAGTAGAAATGAACAACTATTATGTAAGGTGTTCCTATCGTCATTCAGGAAAATAATATCAGATTGGTTCCACAAACTGTCAAAAGGATGTGTGAAGAGTTGAGAAGGCTTGACCGAGATGTTTGTGGCCAAGTTTGTTACAAACAAATTGCAGCCACTAAAGGTAGACTCCCTTTTAGCTTTGAAGATCAGTGATGACGAAGGTCTTAGGGCCTACACCAACAGATACTATGAGGTTTACAATCGGATTACGGCTTGTAATCAGGAACTTGCAGTGGTATGCTTTAAGAACAGCTTAGATAATGATTGCCCACTTCGGCAGTCGCTTGTGAAAACACTCCTGAAGAGCATGAAGGAATTAATGGTGCGAATCGAAAAATAAGCCAGGGCAGAAGAAGATAAGAAAGCGAAAAAAATGAGTAGCGAAGCAAGAGAAGAGAAACGGTTTGCTGAGGTGAGGCCAAGGAAATAATGGTGTCAACAAGCCAGAGTTAGGATTGAGATCCATGCATGTAGTGAGTACAGTTTTTAAGATCCCCATCTATAAGATCTTGGAGAAAATCAGGAATCAGTCATACTACAAGGCACTACAGAAGGTCCCAGGAGAATACATGGGCAAGAGCCTTGAGAAGCGCTATGTCTACCATGAGAAAAACGGATACATGACCCAAGGATGCCGAACTCTGAAGTCGCACCTGGAAGATTTGGTTAGACAGGGACACTTGAGAGACCTAATTGACTAAACAAAAACAAGATAAGAGCATGTGAAGCTGGCCCAGGCGCCAGTAGCACCATCGCTACTGCCACCGCCACCGCCACCACCGCAGGCAAAAGGACCACGGATAATCAACGTGATTCATTCGAAGGTCAATGAGAATGAAGTTTGAGGAGAGATTCAAAGGGTAAGGCATCTACAACATGTCTACCAAGTCAGGGAAAAGAGACAAGGACAGAAGGATGTTGGGGGCCAATAATATCTTTCATTAAAGAGGACCTAGATATGGTACACCATCCACCTAACGATGTTCTGGTGGTGACATTGAAAGTTAGAGATTGCCAAGCGAGGCATATCTTAATTGATCAAGGAAACTCTTGTGACATCATGTACGTTAGATGTTACAAGGAGCTCGGCCTCCATAAAGATGATCTAAAGCAATCTGATAGCCCTATGGTCGGATTCAATGGCACACTGACATGGCTGCTAGAGACCACAAGGCTAGAGGTGCAAGCAGGGACCAAGAAGGTAACTATAGAATTTACTATAATAAATACCCCCTTTCTATACAACAACATTCTGGGAAGACCTTGGCTGCACGCAATGAGGGATATTCCTTCAACGCTACACCAACTATTGCGATTCCCAGCTGAGCAAGGGATTAAAGAAGTAAGGGGAGACCAAGTACATGAGAAAAATTGCTCCATGGTAGTAATAAGGTATACTTGCAATGTGAGGGAAGTAAAGACATCAGAGATTGAAAGTGAAGATTGGGAGGTCTTGGATGATGTCGACAAAGAACCAGTCGACAATAGTGAAGAACCCTTGAAAAAGGTTCTTGTACAGGAAGGCGATGAAGAGTGATTATTCCTCATTGACTCTGGCTTAGCCAAGGATCAAGAAAGAAAAATCGAGACTTTTTTTAGAGAAAACATAGAGGTGTTCGCTTGGACACCCAATAAGATGTCGGGGATCAGTTCCGAGATCACCTGTCATTGACTTAACGTGGACAGGTTGGCCAAGGTTGTGATTCAAAGAGCAAGAAGACCAACTTTGATCCATGTGCAGGCAGTAGAAGAGGAAGTGGAAAAGCTACTAGAGGTACAAGCAATTTGAGAAGTGAACTACTGTGACGACCCAGAATTTTTCCCTCCGCTCGAGCGGACTTTTGGGGTTCTCAGCAATTTTGCAGACGGCCTGAGATTCTGGGAGTTGTGACGAAGGACTGCTTTCTCCTGCCCAAGATTGATCACCTTGTTGTTGCCATATTGGGACATGGAAGAATGAGCTTTCTAGATGTATACAAGGGATACTGCCAGATAGCAATGTATGCCCTAGATGAGATGAAGACAACACTATATCATGTGACAACCCTATTTTGTATTAAGCTTTTCATTCATTAATTATGTATGTGTTTGTATACCTAATATGAATCTAAATGCTAATTATGTGTTCTATGTGATTTTTGGATGCATATCTGTTGATTGTAGAAATATCTGTTCTGAATTCCATTATAATCTAAAATTGAGGGTCGTAGAGGCATCAGAAACCGAAATTGAATAGGTCATTGTGATTAGTATAATTTTTAGAGCCTATGGTGAAATTTAATTGAAAACTAATTCGGATCAAATTAATTAGATTATATTGATTAAACTAAGTGTAATTAATTAACCTTAAAGCCTGTTTGCTTAGTCTAAGCTAATTACCTTATATAAATATGAAGAGTGATGAGCTTAACTCATCTTTAGAAGCTCAAAAATTTGCTGAGATTCATTCTACAAAGAGATTAAGTCAATTTAGAGAGACAAAGGAACTCAACTTGGAGGATTGCTTAGTATATTGAAAGATAGTGAAGATTAACTCAAGAATTGCTTAATTTATGAGCTCAAGTCAATAATAATGTGTATTCAAGAAGATAATGAACCAAAATGCAAGAATTGAGCTTGGAATGAGGAAATTGGTACTAAATCATACATGCATGCATGAATTTGTTTCTGGCATGAACTTTGTAATCCATGTTGAATTGGGAGTTGTCACTTACATGCATTCATGAATCATAAAGTTATGAACACTAATTCCATGTTTTGAAAGTCTTGGAAGGGAATTGAAGTTGAATTGATGCATGTATAGAAGTTTTGATCTCAGTTTTGGAAAATCATAACACTTTTGAGCTCATGGTTTCAAGTTGAGCTCATGCATATGTATTTCCATATGTAGACGTCCCCGAACGTCCCGAGAGGGAATCCCGTTTTGTTCATTTGGGGCTCACTACAGTTCAGACTCAAAAGTCACGGTCCTGTATCTAATCTCGCAGAGTGCAATGCAAGACCGATGAATCATCAAAGAGTCCAAATCTGGCAAATCGTTTTGAGAAAAATAGATTTTTTTGAAAGAAGTGCCAAACATGGATTGCTTTGCCAGATACAGAGTCGCCAGATAAATATTTTATTTTGGGGAAATTTAGGAAACCCTGACTCGTGCCGAAGGCCACATGTCCGTCATCACCAAAGTTGCCTCGGCTCGGGAACTTGGGTACAATTGGGAAGGTCACTTCGTGAGCACCCCGCTCGCCCGATCAAGAAATTGGTCTCTACTAACCATGATATCGAGTTTTGAAAACATTATGTGCTCTTATTCGGTTATTAGCCTAGATTTACTATGTGATGCGCACAGCATATAAGTATAGACTGGATTGCCTAAGTTGGAACAAAGCATCGCACATCCGTTTGTTTTGAAAATGGATTGAAGTTTGCTACTCGCAAGTAGGCTAAAACATGGGTTTCGACGAATTATTATCACTCAAGCAACCCAACCTTCACTCACAGGCATTCAGGCAGGGCATATCACATAAGCACATAGCCTCATGGTAAGCATGCTATCATGGCAGTCACTCACACACATGCAAGGATCTAAAGCATAAACACTTACCGAGTACTCCAAGCCAAAATAGAAACTAGTTAGTAATCAATGCATGATCCTAGTTCATATTAAGATGGCTGATGCAACACAAGCAAAATGCAAGTAGAAATAGGCTCGGCTATCCTAAGAATGGCATATGAGATGCTAAAGTAACACGTATTCAATTTGGATTGGAATACAATGCAGTTAGTATGATGCGCCGAGCCTGGTGCATGCAGTACAGATGAATGATGCAAACATGCAAGCATGAGTATGCTAATTGAAACATGCCCTAATCTAAACCATCATAGTATGGTAAATAAAAGGGAGAAAGACGTGGGGTTGGAAGACATACATCACACACCACACTTATTACAATTGTGCCCTCGCTGGAAGGGTCTGAATAAATAATTACAGTCCGAATAAATAATTAACTACTTAGCTAATTAAATATTACAAAACCTAATTAATCAAACATTAGCTAGAAAAGCAAAAAAATTAGCATGCAAGCTAAATGGACTGCCTCAGCTCTGTTCCGAATAATGAAAGGTGATGCATGCTCGAGTCGCCTTGTCGGTAAATTCCATCGCGATGCCTCGCCTCACCCTTGTTTGCAATTGATCTCAGAAACTTGCACAAAGCTCCAGAAGGCTGAAACTCCACCTTGGGAAGGCCACCGACCAGTTATTAGCATGGAAGACCACCCGCCGACCACCCTTTGTGTGGAGACCAAAGAGGTGGTCGGTCTGCCAGAAAATCTGGTCGGCCGACCAATTTCCACCTCTGGTTTCTGGTTTTTCTGCAACAAAGGCAAGAGAGAGAAAAGCAATGTATTTTCAACAAATGTGTGCATGACCACTCTCCCTATCATTGCACAAGCTCTAGGGAGTGTAATCCTCGATCCTCGTGCCATCAATCATGCATAATGGCCTAGGAGTCGAATTGCACGATCCAGTGGGACATGAATGCACATATAAACAACAAAGCCAACGACTCTATCATGGATTAGTCAAGAGTGTCGGCGATCGAGAATCGAGGCATGAATTCGTCACTTGGAGTACGAAACGTCCCTCGTTTCCCGTGTTTGGACTAAACCTACTCTAAACACGATGCAATATGCATGACATGCATGAATGCAACTCTAACATGCATCCTAGATGCAATGCACTAAATGACGCAAACATGCAAGGGATGACATGCAAACATGCTACTAGCATACACAATGCTATCAAATAATCAATGGCATACTCAATGCAAGATGATTCTATATGGCATACGCAATGCATATGAAGACTAACAAATACAATGAAACGAAACAAGGCATACACAATGCAATGATCAAATCATGCAACAACGTGAACTAAATGCATACACAATGCAAGATGGACTTAAACCAACATGAGTGGACCTCAGCCACACCCAAACAGTGGGCATATGATGAAAATGAGACAACCGAAATACATGCAAACATGCACGGATGCAAAGGACTGATCCTAAGGCACAACATGCAACTCTAACAAAGCATGGAAAATGATGAAATATGGCATAGAATGGCACATGATCCAGCTGTGGAATATGATGACCACAAGGGTCCCGAATCATGCAAACACTTCACACAATGCATGCAAGATGGCTCGAATACCGAAACTAGTGAAGTGCGTTACACTAGAGGTACACAAAGCAATGCACAAATGACAAAACCACCCTCAAACAGACCCTAGGTAGGTCCAAGACAGTGGGAAAATGGCCTAAAATGATGGCTCAAAGTGCATGGAAATGAAGCTCATTCAATGGTCCGAAAACAAGGCATTTATGCACAACTCTAAAACGCATTTAAAGAGTGGAAATCATGACAATATGGCATGCATGTAAGCTCTGAAATATGATGTGCAATGGCCTCAAAACATGAAACACCTCAGCATATGCATGTAATAGACCTCGAAACTCAAAGCTAAACATGGATATTGAACTACAAGCATGCAAAATAAGCATCATTCGACCATGAGACCCAAAAACAGAGCTAAGGCAGTCCAAAATATGCACAAAATCAGTTTAAGGCATGGCCAAAAAGTGCTAACATGAAGGGCCAAAACAACATGCAACATAGGCTAGTAAGCATGGTTTACACTATATGTATATGAAGCACATGAGGGGCCACCAAACCAGCTAAAAACAGAAACATGGCATGCCAAAATATGACCAAAAACCCACTGAAACTCAGTCAACACATGTTAGAATGAAGTGTTCCTTTGAAAGGCCAATGAGAGGGTTGTTCTACACATGTATGATGGACACACAAAATAGCAAAACTACCTGTGGACAGAGGTTATGAGGGCCCTAAAACTTACTAAAAAGGGCTTGAAATGAGTCTAGCAAGCATGCAAGTAAAGGCCCCTTTGGAAGGGCTTGAAGAGGATTACTCTACACATGCATAATAGACATTCAACATGGCAAAAAGGGCTCTAGACAGAGCCTATTCAGGTCACAAAACTCATAAAAAGTGGCCTGAAACATGGCTTTTGTAAGGCCAACAAAGCTAGTGAACAAAACAAGGGGTGAGAGGGTCACCCCTCTCTGATTTTGAGGCTCAAAAACACATGTTAGCCACTGAAAAGGCCAAACCAAGGCCAGCACAAATGCTCTAATGCATAGCTCGAAACAAGAGGAAATGAAGCATGCAAGGGGGTAGATGACCCCCAACATAAAAATGGCCTTAAACAAACATGTTTAGAAGCTCAAAACAAGACTTTTTTCAATTTATGAAAAATCCTAAATATGCTTGCAAATAGAGCTAAACTATGAAGCAAAATAAGGCTACAAAGAGGGAAATAGAGACTTACCCTTGTAGAGAAGAAGGCCAGCAGCTTCTGGACCAATGTAGCAAGCTTTCAACCTCTGAAAAACAGCTCTAAGGTGCTTAGAGTGATAGTGGAGGTGTTGTGCTTGGAGGTGTAGGGCAATGGTGC